TTCCACCCCGAAACACCAGGCACACAGCAGCGTTTGGCGAGGAAATCCCAATACCTGGAGGGGTTGGGAGCAAAACCTCCGACGGCCCCAAAAGCAGCCCGGCAGCAGCAGGGAAGGAGTTAAGGACAACGGGATGAATCAGCCCACAGACACGGACATTTCCTACCTGCTCCCATTTAAAAGGTTTCCACCACAGCAGCGGGAACAGACGAGGCGTTGGGTTGGGTTTAAAAGGAAAAAATTTGGGTTGCGAACAAATCCAAGAAACCCCACAGCGAGCAGAGGGGGATGGTGGTACCGCCGGGGTCCTCCCCATCTCTCCCCTATAAAATTTGTCCCAAAGCACGGATGGAAAACCAAATCCCTGAATATTTTCGGAGCACCCCCGCCAAGGGATGGGGGAGTGGGGGGGGATTCCCGAAGCTCTGGGCACGGCCCCGCTGCTCCTTGCGAAACTTCCCAGCTGGGCTGGGATTCCTTCCCGCGCCGCTCTTCGGGGTTTTAACGTCGCTCCATATTTAGCAGGAGGAAAAAAAAAATAAAAAATAAAATAAAAAATAAACCGAGCTTCCCTTCCTTCCTGTCACATTTTCCATCCTTGCTGACATCTACGCTGAGAAAGGAGGAGCGGGGGTGAGTGTGGGAGCGCCCAGCAAAGCCCTCGGGTGCACGCCGGCCCCGTAAAGTTTTAGGGCCCTGATATCGGGGTGGGAGCTGTCAGCAATCCCATAGCATCTAATGGGGTAAGTGGGAGGGTCCCCGGCCCCAAGCCATGGCTCATGCGTGGGGCGGGGGCTGGCGGTGCTGGCCCCATAGTGGTGACCCCATCCCAAATCCCTGTGCTGGGGATGGTTAATGGGGAAAAGCCCGTGCAGACATGGGGAGGAGGAGGAGGAGGAAAAGGAAAAAGAGGAGGAGGAAGATGAGGAAGGAAGAGGAGGAGGAATATGATGAGGAAGGCTAAGAGGAAGATGAGGAGGAGAATATTGGGAAGAGGAGGAGGAAGAGGAGGAGGAAGGAAGAAGTGGAGGAAGATTTGGAAGACTAGGAAAGATGGAAGGAGGAAGATGAGGAGGAAGGAGGAAGACTTGGAAAAATAGGGGAAGGAAGATGAGGAGGAGGAGGAGAAATAGTGGGAAGAAGAGGAGGTGGAGAAGGAAAATTAGGAAGAGGAGGAGGAGAGAGGAGTAAGAAGAGCGGGAAGGGGAGGAAGATGAGGAAGATTAGGAAGAAGAGGAGAGGAAGAGGAGGAAGAGGAGGGATGAAGACGAGGAAGACTGGGAAGAAGAGGAAGATGAGGAAGACTTGGAAAAATAGGGGAAGGAAGATGATGATGAGGAGGAGGGATATTGGGAAGAAGAGGAGGTGGAGAAGGAAGATTAGGAAGAAGATGAGAGGAGTAAGAAGAGCGGGAAGGGGAGGAAGATGAGGAAGATGAGGAGGAAGAGGAGGAAAATTAGGAAGCGGAGGAAGATTGGGAAGAAGAGGGGGGTGAAGAAGAGGAGGTGGCGAGGGAAGATCTGGGAGGAGAGGAGGAGAAAGAGGAGGAGAGGAGGGAGATTGGGAAGAGGAGGAGGAGGAAGATGAGGAAGAAGCTTAGGAAGGAGGAAGAGGAGGAGGAAGAAGAAGAGGAGGAAGATTAGGAAGGAGGAGGAGGAGGCAGATTGGGAATAAGGAAGAGCAGGAGAAGAAGGAGAAGAAGAAGGAAGGAGGAGGAGGAGGAGGAGGAAGAGGAGGAGGAGGATGTACAGGACCCCCCACCACCCCCCCTCCCTCCTCCCTGTCCCCCCCCTTCCCCTCTCACCTGCGCGCAGCGGGGCCGGGCGGGCACCCCCCGGGCACCCGCTGGGCTCCCCCCGTTTTCCCCCCGCTTTCCGCCGCTCCGCTCGCTGCGAGGCCGCGGCGGCCGCGACCATTGACGGGCCGCGGGGGGGGGGGGGGGGAGAAGGGAGAAGCAACAGCGGGGCCGAGCCGGGGCTGGGGCTGAAGCCGCCGCCTCCTCCTCGTCCTCCTCCTCCTCCTCGGTCTCGTTTTGGGGAGGGGGCTCCAAGGGGGGGAGGGCTCCGGGCCCTCAGCGGCGCCCCCGCCGCCGCCCGCCCGCTGCCGGTGCCGCCGCCGCCATGGTGCGGCCGCAGGCGGGGCGCGCTGCGCCAGGGGGGGCGTGGCCAAGGAGGAGGGGGCGGGGCAAGGGGCGGGGCTAACGCAAAGGGGGCGGGGCTAAAGGGGAATTGGCGCGCCCCGCTGGTGGGTAATGGGGGGGGGGTCATTGGCATGGGGGATGTTCATTAGGCGGTCCGGCTAATTGCGGAGCGCCATCCAGCCTGGGGTTGGGGTAGTGACGGGGTTGGGGCGTCGCTACCCTCCCAGTGACGAATATTTGTCCTAATATTTAATATTTATGTTTAACTTATATTTTTATATATTTTTATTTTTATTATATATTTATATCATATATTTATATATATATTTTATATATATTTATATATATAGGAAGGAGGAAGAGGAGGAGGAAGATTAGGAATAAGGAAGGACAGCAGGAGGCAGATGTACAAGATATCAATTATATATTTAGATAAATTATATTTACATATATAAATATATATATTTATATATATTATATATATTATATTAATATATATTATATATATTTAATATATATTATATAATATTATTATATTAATATTTATATATGTTTATATAAATTATATATATTAAATTATATTATAACTATATTAATTTATATAAATATTATATTATTATTAATTTATATATTTTATTTTATTTTTGTATTTATATTATGTTTTATATAAATATATATATTTATGTTTTTATATATTATTTTCTATAAATATTACTTTTTTATTTTTATTTTTTTATATTTTTATATTTTTTTTGTCTTTTATATTATTAATTTTTTATATTTAATATTTCCTAATATTTATATCTCCTCATATTTCACCGAAATCCGCCCTTTTGTAGCTTAAAACCCCCCCCTTGTCCTATCGCTGCCCCCCTGACACAAAGTCCCCCCCCCACTGTGTCCACACGGAGGTGCTGAGCCCCCTGAGAAGGGCACAGGGGGACAATTCCCTCCCTCACCCTACCACCAAGCTGCCCCATTTGGGGTTTCTCACTGACCCACAACCCCAAACCCTCAGGGCAGCCCCCAACCCTCAGTCCCCACCTCCCCAGCCCCTATTTGTGCTTGGGGTCACCCCAGCTGTCCTCACAGCCCTTCCCTCCAGCACATCAAACGCACGATGGACCCCATAACAGTGCAGCTTCCCCACAGCGGGATCCCAACCAAACCAGAACGAGCTCAGAGCGAAAAAAAAAAAAAACAAACCCAAAAACCTGCAGCTTCCTCTCGCCTTTCAGTTGGGGAATCCTCAATGTGCTCCCAAGTTGTTCGGTCACTGCTTGCCACCACTGAAACTGCAAGAAAAATCGGATTTTTAACGATAAAAATCCCAAATTCTGCCTTGTCGCGGGGCTGAGACCTCCGTCCCTCTGAGGACGCGGCTGCACCCACACGGCAACACCCCGGCTATCGATGGGTGGGTGAGAAACCACAGCCACCAGGCTGGGACATCAGCCACCACCGCCAGCCCGGCTCAACGCTAACCCCGTGAGCTGCTTGCGGTACAAATAAATTTTTTGTTGCTAAGCGTTTGCCTTTATTTAGATGCAAAAAGAGGCAAACCTGAGCGGAGCAGGGCGTGCCACGCTCTGCCCCTGCCATCCACAGCTCTCTTACGATTTGTTTTAAAGCTGAGTTTGGGCTCCAAGCTGGGTTGAGCATCCTTCCTCCAGGGTGATCTGCTGGTTGGGGTGGTTGGATGCGGCCCTGGTGCTGTCTCTGCTCCCCCCTCCTGCCCCTGGGCTGTGTGCCACAGAGCGGGGAGATTCCCAAAATGCTGCTGCCATCTGCTGGCACCGGCCTCCTGCTGGGGCCGGGGTGATGCCAGCCATCGCCTCCTCGCTCAGCATCACCGCTTTGGGGGTAAAAAGAGTGGTTTCGGTTCTCCTCAGGGTGGTCCCCTCATTGGGGAAGACTGAGATGGGCAAATTGGGAAAGGCCTCCCTGGGCAAATACGCCCGACTTTTGGTCCCCAGAATTAAGGCTTAAGGCTCCCGAAGCCTTTCAGGAGAGCAGACACAGAGGGAGACTCATTTATTGTGGAAAAGAAGCGTTCAGGGCAAGAAGGATGCCAAAATGTACACCTGGTGCCACCACAAAATTTATTATGGCTAAGAATATCGATGAGAAAGGAAGCCAGCGGTAAGGAAGGAGAGAAATGTAGGAAATTAAAGCCTGGATCTTACCTGGAGATGCTGTGCTGCTGATTGAAGAAACCCCTCCTGACCTCCAAAAGCTCAGGGCAGCAGTCTGGAGATGGGCTTCGTGGAGAAAACACCAGCCTGGACTTGGCATTGCCACCACGAAAACACCCCCTCGCAGCCAGACCTTTCTCCTCGATCTCATCGATCTAAACCCGCCCAAACCCTACAAATAAAGCTGACTTTTGGCTGGCAGGAGCAGAGCTTTTCCACCCGTGCCCTGTGCCGGGGGGAAACCTTCAGCCTCCTCCCCGTGGGTTTCTCCCTCCCGGCCCCACCAAGTGATGTGGGGCTGTGTGGTTTTGGCCCCGCTGTCGTCTCCGTTGTTATTTCTGGTGTTATCGTGCAGAAGGGCTGAAGGAGGCAGGGCTTGGCTGGGTTGTTTTGGGGTTTTAGCTACTTTGCGCGCTGTGGGTGTCGAAATGGGGTTAAGGCTGAGCCTGGCGGGCAGTGGGGTGGATGGCGGCACCGGCAGCCAAGCTGCAGCCCCAAGGTGGGCCAAAATGGGGAAAATGAAGTGTTTTGGGTGTACCTTGAGCCAAACTTCAGCCCGAATTTGGACCCCAAATGGGGGAAATGAAACGTTTTACTTCCACCGTGAGCCAAACTTCAGCACAAATGTGGACCCAAAATGGGGAAGATGAAACCGCGGGGCCCCGCGCGGCTGCAATGGAACCGGCACCGGCACCGGGAGGCGGTTACCGGTACGGGTCGTCCCCCCCCTTGAAAAAAAAGCAAGAATGCCAGGCCATCGTGGACGGGCTGCGGGACGCTCTCGATGTGCGCGATGCCACCATAGAGTCGCTCCAGAAGGTGCTGGGAGAGACGGAGATGCTGTGTTCCTCTCTCAAGAAACAGATCAAATTCCTGGAGCAGCAGCAGGAGGATAAAAGGAGTTCAAAGGAGGAGGCCTGCCATCTGCGGAACAAGCTGAAAACCACGGAGCGGATCGAACTGTTGCTTCAGAGCCAGCGCCCCGAAGTGGAGGAGATGATCCGAGAGATGGGAGTTGGGCAGGCAGCAGTGGAGCAGCTTGCGGTGTACTGCGTCTCGCTGAAGAAGGAATATGAGAACTTGAAGGAGGCTCGCAAGGTATCCAGTGAGATGACAGAGAAGCTGAAGAAGGAGCTGTTTGCTGCCAACAGCAAGCTGCAGAGAACCGTTTCAGACTTGCAGAACACAAAGGAGGAGTTAGAAAGCACCCAGAAGGATTTGAAGAATGCAGACAAGGAGATCTTGAGTTTGAAGAAGACGATAGACATCCTGCAGGATACCCTGAAAGTGCCATCTGTGACCAGGGAGACGCTCAGCCGACTGGTCTTCGAAAGCCCTGCTCCCGTGGAACTGCGGCACCCGAAGCTCCACCGCCCAGCCCACAGCGACGAGATCAATCTAGATGCCACCTTTGATGTGGACACCCCTGTGGTGGTTTTACCGTGCTGGGCAGCTAAACCCCACAACCGCTCTCTCACTCCCCCTCCTTTAGATGAGGAGGGGGAGAAGTAAAGCAAAGAACAACTCACGGGTTGAGATAAGGATAATTTAATTAAAGGGAAATAATTATAATAATTAAATAAAGACTACCATGAACTAAACAATTTAACTAAGGGGAAATAAAAAGGGAAAGGGGAAAGGGAGGGGAAAAAAGGAAAATAAAAAAGAAGGGAGGAAAACAAACCAACAAAATAAATGAAGGCTATATGGAAGTGCAGAGGAAAGAAATGACTCTCTACTTCCCACAAATGAGCGATGATTGACCACGTCCTTGAAGCAAGGCCTCAACGCACGCAGCCGGTGTTCGAGAGGAGGACCGACGTCTTCCAAACGAGAGCCCACCCCTCCCCTCTTCTTCCTGTTTCCCCCTTTTCTTGCTGAGTGTGACACCACATGGTATGGAATATCCCTTTGGTTGGTTTAGGTCAGCTGCCCTAGTGATGTTTCTCTCCTCACCTTTTGCCCACCCCCTAGGAGGGTTAGAGAAAGGCCTAATACTGTGCCACTGCTGCTCAGCAGGAGACACAACACTGGTGTGATAACACTGCTGTTCCAGCTACAAGTACAGAGTACGGCACTGTATGGGCTGCTGCCGGGAAAGTTAACATTCCAGCCAGACCCAGTACAATCCCCGAAAATCAGCCCTGCGAATCTCTCTTCAGCCCTGCGAAAAGGCAGAAGCTGGATAAAAAGCCGCCTCCCGTGGTAAATCTGGCAAAGAAAGCTCTGAAGGAAACAGTGGAGAACAGGGCAGATGATCTGGAGGATGAGGCTTCTTAAAGGGCTGCTGCCAGCATTCATCAGGAACTCCGTTCACTCCAAGAAGCTGACACCGGGCGGCTTGCTGGGTTCCCACAAGAACACAGGCACGGTGAGGATGGGGTACGACGGCTTGGGAGGCAGAACAAAGTTCATCCAGCCTACGGACCCCACAGCCCTCCGGCCCTGTGTGGTGAGGAGCAAGAAGAACGGCTCCAGGCCGGGGACGGCAGCTCCCCCCGCGTCCTGCAGCAGCAGCCAGGCGCAGCTGGATGGCTTCCTGCACTGAGCCGTGTGGGGGAGTGGCGGGCACAGCCCCTTTTACCCTTCCCCTCTCCCCTTTTCGTGCACAATAAATGGGTCTGCTCCTTCAAATTAAAAAAATAATAATAATAATTAAAAAAAAAAAAAAAAAACACCTGGGGGACAAAGCAGTCATTGGTCCCAGCCAGCATGGGTTTGTGAAGGGTAGGTCCTGCCTAACTAACCTGATTTCCTTTTATGATAAGATCACCCGTATGGTGGACCAAGGGAAACCAGCTGATGTGATTTTTTTGGACTTCAGCAAGGCTTTTGACACGGTTTCCCATAGGATCCTACTGGACAAAATGTCCACCATACAGCTAAATAAAAACATCATACGATGGGTGAGCAATTGGCTAACGGGCAGGGCCCAAAGGGTTATGGTGAATGGGGCTGCGTCAGGCTGGCGGGCGGTCACCAGTGGGGTCCCTCAAGGCTCCATTTTAGGGCCGGTACTTTTCAATATTTTTATAAACGATCTGGATGTAGGAATAGAAGGCATTTTGAGCAAGTTTGCTGATGACACCAAACTTGGAGGAGTTGTGGACTCGAATGAGGGTGGAAAGGCCTTGCAGAGGGATCTGGATAGGTTGGAGAGCTGGGCGATCGCCAACCGCATGAAGTTCAAGAAGAGCAAGTGCCGGGTCCTGCACCTGGGACGGGGAAACCCTGGCTGCACGTACAGACTGGGCGATGAGACGCTGGAGAGCAGCCTAGAAGAGAGGGATCTGGGGGTCGTGGTAGACAGCAAGTTGAATATGAGCCAGCAGTGTGCCCTGGCAGCCAGGAGGGCCAACCGTGTCCTGGGGTGCATCAAGCACGGCATCGCTAGCTAGGTCGAGGGAGGTGATTGTCCCGCTCTACTCTGCGCTGGTGCGGCCTCACCTCGAGTACTGTGTGCAGTATATATATATATACCACAGTATAAAAAGGACATGAAACTGTTGGAGAGTGTCCAGAGGAGGGCTACGAAGATGGTGAAAGGCCTGGAGGGGAAGACGTACGAGGAACGGCTGAGGGCACTGGGCCTGTTCAGCCTGGAGAAGAGGAGGCTGAGGGGAGACCTCATCGCAGTCTACAACTTCCTCGTAAGGGGGTGTCGAGAGGCAGGAGACCTTTTCTCCATTAACACCAGCGACAGGACCCGCGGGAACGGGGTTAAGCTGAGGCAGGGGAAATTTAGGCTTGACATCAGGAGGGGGTTCTTCACAGAGAGAGTGGTTGCACACTGGAACAGGCTCCCCAGGGAAGTGGTCACTGCACCGAGCCTGTCTGAATTTAAGAAGAGATTGGACTGTGCACTTAGTCACATGGTCTGAACTTTTGGGTGGACCTGTGCAGTGTCAAGAGTTGGACTTGATGATCCTTAAGGGTCCCTTCCAACTCAGGATATTCTATGAAATGTTTTGCCTCCACCGTGAGCCCAACTTCAGCACAAATGTGGACCTAAAATGTGGAAAATGAAGCAGTTTTCCTCCACCGTGAGGCAAACTACAGCCAAAATGTGGAGAAATTGTGGAAAATGAAGTGTTTTTCCTCCCCTGTGAGCCAAACTTCAGCCCAATTTTGGACCCCAAATGTGGAAAACGGAGCATTTTCCCTCCATTGTGAGCCAAACTACAGCCCAGATGTGGACACAAAATGGGGAAAACGAAACATTTTGCTTCCTCCGTGAGCCAAACTTCATCAGAAATGTGGACAAAATGTGGACAAAATGTGTTTTCCCTCCACTGTGAGCCAAACTACAGCCCAAATGGGGACAAAATGTGGAAAACGAAGTGTTTTTTTTCCCCCGTGAGCCAAACTTCAGCCCAAATTTGGACCCAAAATGGGGAAGATGAAACATTTTGCCTCCACCGTGAGCCAAATTTCAGCACAAATGTGCACAAAATGAGGAAAACGAAGCATTTTTCTTCCACTGTGAGGCAAACTACAGCTGAAATGTGGAGAAAATGTGGAAAATGAAGTGTTTTTCCTCCACCAGGAGGAAAACTACAGCCCAAATGTGAACCCAGAATGTGGATAACGAAGTGTTTTTCTTCCCGTGAGCCAAACTTCAGCCCAAATTTGGACCCAAAATGGGCAAAATGAAGCATTTTGCCTCCACCGTGAGCCAAACTTCAGCTGGAATGTGGACACAATGTGGAACACGAAGCGTTTTCCCTCCACCGTGAGGCAAACTACAGCACAAATCGAACCCAAAATGCGGAAAACGAAGCGTTTTCCCTGCATTGTGAGGCAAACTATAGCCCAGAAGTGAACAAAATGAGGAAAAGGAGGCGTTTTGCCCAGCCCGAGCCGGGACCGTTTCCGCAAGGCCCGGCCGCCCACAACCGGGCGCGGCCCCGAGGCCTCAGCCCGCGGGGCGGCCCTCGGCCCCCTCACAGCGCTCGGCCTATCAGCGCCCGTCTTTCCCTCGACGGACAGGCGTTTCGACCAATGAGCGGCGCGAGTAGGGGAAAGTGGGCGGGCTTAGCGGCCGGCCGGGCTGTGGCGGCGACGGGCCGGGGGGGTTGTGAGGTACCGGGAGCGCGTCCCCGACCCTAAATCCCCTCAGAGCGGCCCGGGGAGGCCAGGCTGAGCTGTTTTTTCCCCAAAAAGCTCCCCGTGCTGCCTCCGTGCCCGGGAGCTGCCTCTCGGTGCCCTTTAGAGCTCCGCCAGGCGTCGCCAAGCGGGCCCTGCTCCCCCCCCCCTCGGGCCTCCCTCTCCCCCTCAGGCGCTGAGGCGGGATGGGCTTCGCGGAGGACAAGGTGTACGGCCACATCCTGAGGAACATGGACAAGTTCAAGAACATCCACGTGGCGTCGCTGGTCGATTCCCTCGGCTGCCTCACCGAAGCGGACAGGGTAACTCGCCGGTGTTAAAACCGGGCACCTCGCCCTGGTGTTACAACACGGGGAGGGGGGGGGGGGTTGCAGAAGCTTTGTTTCTGGTTATTTGTGGCCAGCAAGGCGAGGGAGGGGGGTGTCACCTTCTGCTTCTGCTGTTTTGAGCCCCCTTCGTGGTGCTGTGCTCGGCTCTGGGCCCAGCACGGGGAAGTGGAGCTGCTGGAGCAGGGCCTGAGGAGGCCGTGGGGGTGCTCAGGGGCTGGAGCAGCTCTGAGAGAGGGGAGTGGTGGGTCTGGGGAAGAAACCCCCCCCAGGGAGAGCTCCCAGTGGCCTGCCTGTACCTAAAGGGGGCTGCAGGAGAGCTGGGGAGGGACTTTTTGTCATCTTTGTCGGGGGAGGGCAGTGATAGGACAAGGGGTAACAGCTTTAAACTAAAAGAGGGAAGATTTAGGTTAGATACAAGGCAGAAATTTGTCACTGTGAGGGTGATGAGGCCCTGCCCAGGCTACCCTGAGGAGCTGTGGCTGCCCCAGCCCTGCAGTGCCCAAGGCCAGGCTGGATGGGGCTTTGGGCAACCTGGTCTGGTGGGAGATGTCCCTGCCCATGGCAGGGGCTGGAAATAGATGGGTTTTAGGGTCCCTTCCAACCCAAACAGTTCTGTGATTCTTCCTCTAAGGCACGCCTTGCCTCTTGGTGTTCTTTGCTCAGGATGAACTTCATACCCGACAGGAGGTGCGGGGCAGCAATGCGACCGCCTACAAATTGTATCAGCACGTGAAGTGCCGCCGGGGCTGGGTGACCGACCTGATCAACGCCCTGCACCAGAACAACGCGGGGCACCTGGCTGAAGAGCTGCAGCAGGTCTACGACCTCTACCAAACCCGTAAGCGGCCTCCCCGCAGCACCTTGCCCCGGTGACGTGCCTGGGGACGGGAGGAGGTTGGCAGGGATCCTTGTTCAAAGCTGCTCGGGTTGGCAGTGGGCTGGGTGTCCCGGCATCCTTGTCCTAAGGGGAGGTGGAAATGGGAATTAAGGGGTGCTGCAGGTTTGGTTGATGTGGGGACGGAGCATGGGTGTGAGAGGGGCTGCCTCAGCCCCACATCCACCCTCTGCCTCCTCGGCTTTTCTGCGCTGCCTCAGCTTTTACCTGCACCTCCTCAGCTCCTCCAAGAGCCTCAGCTCCACCAGCTGCTCCAAATCCTGGTGCTGCCTCCTTCCCTCCCGATGCCCGGCCTGCTGTCTCCGTCAGTGCCCAGCTGCCATTTTCGGGGCCAAAACCCGCTGCGGACGCCCCGCTGGCCGATCCTCCCCACTGCATCTCGTCCACTGAGGGCTCTGCCGCCACCAGTGCGAGCCCAGCTGCAAGCAGGGACGTTCCCAGCACCGACCTGGACGCCAGGGCCCCTGTGCAGGAAAAGGTGAGCAGGACAGGGCTGCAAAGATCCCTTTTGGAGCGGAGTTTCGGTGCTTTGGGTGCCACGAGCACGCTCTTGCTGCTGGTTTCTGCTGTGTGCTCGCTGCACCTGGCAGCTTCACCCACCCGGGCACCTTCTGTGCCATTTCCATGCAGAATTTGGGGTAGAATGCAGCTTCTGCTGGTGAGGAGCAGCAAGCTGCACCCTTTTAGCCTACACTCGGCCCTATAACCGTGCAAGGACAGGCTTTGCTCTTGTTCTGTGCTCCCTCCCGCTGCCTGGTGCCCCGTGAGTCCTCAGCCAGGGCGAAATGAGGCTGCCCAGCGATTTACCAGCTCCTTTTCTTCCAGCCCCTGGAAAAAACGAGCCTGCAGCCTCCACCACCACCTCTGGCCACAACCTACGGTGGAGAGAGCGATGGGCGCAGCACTGCGGGGCCGCTCCCGTGCCCGACAGAGGCTGAGAGGGTGGCAGCGGGGCCCCCCGGGGGGCTTTTTCCGTGGGCTGCACCCCCCGAGCAGGGCCGGGAGTGGCTGAGCCAGCGATCCCCGGTGTGCGTGGCCGACGGCTGCTTCGGGAACTCCAAACACCTGCACCGCGCTGCGCCGGGCTCGGGGCTGGGCACATCCGTCCCACTCAGGGACCCGCTCAGCGCTCGTGGCGTGGGGCAGCCCAGAAATGAACCCCAGGAAGACGTTTACATCTCCGCCGAGCTGCCTGCGGGGTTGGCAGAGCCCTCAGGATCTCAGGGGAGGCAGGAGAAGGAGGCTGAGCTCGGTGCTGAGCACGGAGAGGCTCCCAGCAGCCTGGTGGATGTGCGCAGCCCCCTCCTCATCCAGCATGCAGTTCGATGCAGAGCAGAAACTGGCCGGGATGCTGCAAGAACACCAAGGTGGAGGTGAGATTGCCTTCCAAAGCTGGCTGGTAGCGAGCTTCTGGAAGGTCTCCTGGTTAACGCAGCGTCTTGTTCTCTCCCCGTCAGACTACTCAGGGTGGAATCCACCGTCCCCAGAGACACTTCCCCATCCCGTGACGTCTCCTGGAAGCTTCCTGTGCCAGAGCAAACGCTGCCTGCGGGGAAGGCAGCCAGCAGCACCCCCCCTGTGCCAGCAGAGGAGAAAGTAGGTGACCTTTCGGTGCCTCATTCAGGTCCTTTTAATCTCCCCTGCCTGGGACCTTTTTATTTTTGCCGCAGCATAAGGTTTTTTGAGCTGGGGACGAGTTTACTTGGGGCTTTTTCCCCTCCGTGTTTCTCTTCCTGTCCCCAAGCCTGTGTTTAGGGCACGTGTGCAGCCTCGCCTGCTGGCTGTTGCAGCACGCACGAGCCCAGCTCGACCCCAACCTCACTGGAACACCCCCCGCTGATTTTGTGGGGCTTCGTTTTGTCAGCTTTGGGGTTTGGGATGGTTTCCCAAACGCTGGGAGGAGAAAGGGAGCCAAGATTCATTGGTCAGCATCTCCCAGCCCCCCTATTTTCCCCTCTCGTTGTCTCCCAAAGGTGCTCCCGGCCTCAGCGTCCCCTTTCCAGGGCTCAGCAGTGGGGGAAAGCTTCGTGAGCCCATCTGGGAGGACGTCCTGCCGGGGGAGCTCTGCCACAAGCATCTGGGCCTCTCCCAACGGCCCGGAGGAGGACGTGGAGCTCAGCAAGCCGGGCGTCCTCCTCTCGCTGCCGGGGGAAAGCCCACGGGTGGCTGCCAGGCCCCCGGGCGGCGCCGCCACCGCTTCCGAGGCCACCGATCACCTCGGTTTGAGCAGCGACCCGCTCCTCATGAGCACAGACAGCTCAGATCCCGGAGAAACGCACGAGGATTCCACTTCGGGACGTTGCTCCTCAGCTCCTGGAAGAGAAGAAGCAGGGGAAACGCGCTCCTGTTCGCCTCTCAGCTGGAGAACCGAGGAGATCCACGTGGAGCACAGCCCCAGCGCCCTGCTGCAGGCGAGCAACGAGCTCCAGGACGGAGCTGGTGGCGTGGGGATCTCCCCGGCTTCTCACTCGAGGGGTGGCTGCGGTGTCCCCAGCCCTGGGGACAGCCCCGGGTTTTCCTTGCCCTACCTCGTCCCGGCCGTGGGCATCGCGCTCATCTCCGCCGTGGCCTTCCTGGTGTACGCCCGGCTGCAGAAATAGAGGAGGGGAGAGGGAAACGGGGAGCTGGGGCCGCCCTTGGGAGGCTCCTCTTCCCCGCAGGGATTCGTCTGGCACGTCTGAACCCTGAGGAGATGTCTGAAACCCCGAGGAGCAGCCTTATTCCAAATTTGGGTCCCGAATTTCCTGACTGCCCCCCGGGAGCGGCTTGGAGCACACGGGATCGTGCTGCGGGGCTTCCAAAATGAGCTGAAACCCCAAACCCAATTAAATTCCGCAGCCAAATGCACAAAGTGCCTTCCGAAAAACGACGGGCAGGAAACAAACAGCGGGATTTCGGTCTGATGGGGCTGATTTTGGGGCTGGACGTGAGCTGCGCCCAGTTTTGGATCCGTCGGTGGGTGGCAGAGGGCTTTCAGAACGCACTTTATGTCCTCTGCTGCGCCGGGGGCTGCTCTCCTCTCAAAAGGCCGCGGTGAATTCCCAAAGCTCCCCCCAAGCAGGGAGAAGAGCCCGGAATTCCCCGCCAGCAGTGCCCAGCGAACCATTTTGCTCAGCCTTAAGGAATTCTGTCTGTGAGCGCTTCGCACACAGCTCCCCATGGAAGCCGCAGCTTTTAACACTCGGAATTCCTCTGAATTTGCAGCGGACGCGGAAAATCTTCCCAAATGCAGCACCCGGAGCAGGGCTCTCTTAGCAGAATTCTTCCCTTATTTCCCCAGAACTTCGTTGCGACGTCTCATTCACTTTGTATTTCCACTTGAATCGCTCCTGGGAAGCAGCGGATTCATTTTACTTGATAAAAGCATGAAGTTTTCTCATTTTTTTTCATTTTTTTCGGTGTTTGGTGTGAAGTGCCGCCGCTCCCACCTCGCCACGTAGCACTTTAAGAGCCCCAGCAGCAGATGAACCCGCAGGAAGGGACTGTGTCCTGCGAATCCTTTAAAAAATAAACAACGAGGCGTGTTGTGAAACATGGAATAAAATCCTTCACAGAACCCTTGAGGTGCCCTGCTCGTAACGGGGGGAGAATCCCAGATTTTGTAGGGTGAGGAAGGGTACGGGGGGGGTCAGGGGAAAGGGGAACTGAAATAAATCCCAAATCCTGACCCTGTGCCCATATCGGGATGCAGGATCTGGTGCCAGGGATGGAGCCGAGCCCCTCCGGGCACCCTGGGTTCAGCTCCGCTCCCAAACCCTGCTGCTGGGGGGTTCCCAGGTGCCTTTTGGGGAGAATTAGGGAGGTTTTGGGCAACGTGGCTGGAAGCAGCCCGTTTTGCAGCGTTGGGTGTCCTCTGCGGGGTGCAGCGAGGGCAGGGCAGGCCGCAGGGCTGCGGTCACAGCCGGCTGTGCTGGGGGTGCGCCAGGTAATTAGCAATTAGCAGTTACCCCCTAATTACCCATGGCTAATTACCAATTAGCCCTCAGTCCAGACCCACCCCCAGTGGAGAGCGCCCCCATTTCCCTAGGGGCGGCCCTGAGGGTGGGTGGGGGTACATGTCGTGACATATTGCGCTCATGTCGTGACAGAGAAGGCAGCCGGAGGGAGAGGCCTCTCTATTTGCATATGCAAATCGTATGCAAAGCAGCCCCCCCCCCCCCCCGCGGCCCAGCCCAGCCGGGCCTACTGCAGTCTGCCCCTCGGCCCCCGTCTGCGTTGCCATGGTTACCCCGGCTGTCAATCATCCGCGTTATCCCGCCCCAACCACATTCGCCTCACTCCATTGGCCGACGGCCCTGCCATTCTCCTGCCGAAAGCACGCCATAGGCTAACTCCATCTCCCATCCCCCGCCCCTCTCCTCCCCGCGCTCCCTCCTCCTATTGGCTCCCCACCCCGCCGCCTCCCATCCCTCTCCCCTCATTGGCCACCCCACCCGTCACTCCGCTCAACGGCGGCAGCCGATTGGCCGCCGCCTCACGGCTCCTCCCGCCCCCTTCCCTCGGGGCAGGAGCGAGCGCGGCCGGGCCCTCAGACGGGGGGGGGGGGGGGCGAGGGAGGCAGGGCCGGGGCCGCTCGGCGCAGGCGCGCTGCGGGCGGCGGCTGCGGCTGTGGCGGCGGCTGAGGGGAGCGGCGGGGCGCGGCGGGGCGGGCGGCCCATGGGGAAGGGCCGCGCTGCGGATGGAGCCGCTGCGCAACGGCGGCGGGGCGGAGGACAAGGCCCGGAGGAGGGGAGCGGACTCCGGGCCCCCGAGGCGGTGGAGCAGCGGTGGTGGTGGTGGAGGTGGAGGCGCGGCGGGCGCTGACAGCTCGGCGGCGGCCGGGCCTAGCGGCAGGCAGCGGAGGGACTCGGTCCGCAAGAACCGGCCCCGTGAGTGCGCCTCGGGGGGGGCGGGGCCTAAAGGGGAGGGGAGGGGCCTGGAGGGATGGGGGAGGGGCTTAAAGGGAGGGGGCGGGGCCTGGGTGGAAGGGGGTGGGGCCTGGAAGAGGGGCGGGGCCTAAGGGGAAGGAGGGGTGGGCGGGGCTTAAGGGAGGGGGCGGGGCTAATGGAGGTGGGTGGGGCTAGGGGTTGGGGGCGGGGCTAAGGGGGTGCAGGGGGCGCTATGGGGGTGTAATGGGGTTGGGCTGGAGGGATATGGGGATAGAAGGACAGGGGATAAGGGGACAGGGGGGTGGAAGGACAGGGGGACACAGGCAGGGGACAGAAGGCTGGGGGATAAGGGGACAGGGGACATGGGGTAGGGGGCCAGAAGGACAGGGGGACACAAGGGGACAGAAGGACAGGGGATAAGGGGATGGGGGACACAGGAAGGGGACAGAGGGATGGAGGATAAGAGAACAGGGGGATACGGGGCAGGGGGACAGGGAGCAGGGGGAGACACAGGAAAGGAGGGGACACGGGGCAGGAGGATAAAAGGGCAGGGAGACAGAAGGAGACAGGTGGGGGACAAGAGGACAGAAAGACAGAAGGACATGGCACACAGGCAGGGGGACAGAGGGGGACACAGCGGGCAGGGGGGGATATGGGACGAGGGGGCACAGGGGGCAGCAGCCCACAGGCAGAGCCAGGCAGTGAGGGTTGGAGCAGTGGGAGCACGGCAGTGGGGGGCAGGGGAGCAGAGAAGCCCCACGGCTCGGCAGGGACATTGTGACAAGCTGGTCCCCGAGCCACACTGCGTGGGCTGGCACGGAGCAGGCAGCAGCCCTGGTTTTGGCAGCAGCTGTGGCTGCATTCCCGGAGCTGGGGGCCTGCAGGTGCCCGGGGGTGCCCGCAGGAGGAGGCAGCGGCACCGTAAGGCGGCCGCCTGAAGGACACAGCTCCTGAAGGACACCCCCGACAGAGCCCGAGGCCGGGGCAGCCCGGCCTGAAAGCAGCAATCAGAATTCCCGTGCAGCTGAGCCGCTGCAGTCCTCGCATTGTGCGGTGCTTTCTGTGATCTTCTCCTCAGTGCTAAAGGCTTTTTTCTGGCTGCTGGAGAAAAGGAGTTTTTTTCTTTGCCAACCACACCGTTATGGCCAAAAAAAAAAACACCCAAAAAGCAGTTTCAAAGTGCTCGCCTGCTGCAGAGCCTCCTCAGTGATTGCCTTTGGCATTCACATGCAGCAAAACCACCTTGGGGAGTGAGTCTGGTGTGGCTGCCTCTAAGGAGATCCCCTGAAGATCCCGGAGATCCCGCAGGGAGCCACAGGATTCCTCCTTAGGGAGCCATCAGCTGCGAAGGAGAGCTGAAAAATGAGGGTGGGTGCGGGTGGAGCCGTGCATTAAGGGATTAAACCCCTCCGCTCTGCTCTTGGGCAGTTTCTGCAAAAGGAGGAATTCCTTTCTGGGGTTGTTGGAGTTTCCTGTGAGGTCTGCGCCTGCGGGCTGGGCTGGGAGGAAGAGGAAGGAGGAGAGAAACCAGCGATGCCCAGGCAGCGAGGAGCAGCAGAACGTTGGCTTTGGAACTTCTAGCGTCTTCTTCCGAATAAGAAGCCCTAAAATTTTGCTTCAGCAGCTCCTTTGCAACACAGAATTTAAGCCTTGGTTCTTTTAAATGCCCCTTCCTGATTTGGAGTCACGTATGAAACGTGAATTCCCCTTTTCGGAGCTGTGAGATGAGTGGCACTCTGCATTTAATGCTGACAAATGCTGTTTTTTTCCTTTTTCCCCCAGCTCTCCCATTTCCATAGCAGCATAACGCTATTAAAATACGGCATTGAGTGGTTTTTGTCGTTGTGCACTCGGCTAAATCATCAGTCTTCGTTGCTCCACGGGCAAATCTTTTTAGCTGCTAACAGAAGTGCCTCCGAACTCAGGGATCAGCCTGGAATCCTGCCTGTCACATGAAGAAAACCCAGCACAGAGACCTTTAACTCATCCTGGCGCTTCGTGCAGCGCCTGTGCTAAGGGAGGAGAACCTTCCTCAGGCCAAAAGTGAAGAATTTTGTTCTTTTGGAAGAAAATCACTTTGAAGACACTGCACCTGCTTTAGCAGGCCTTTCTTTTAGACACCGCCGAGAGGCAAACCGCTTCCCGGAAGGTGCTGGGAGACAGCAGAGCCTGCAGATCCCAAATTGGGCCAGGAAAACTGTCTCTGACTGTGGTAGACGCTGGAGAAATCAGTATTTGAGGAGGAACAGCAGCTGGTGGTGGCGCTTGGCCAGGAGAGCGTCCTCCCCTTGGGTTTTCTGGTTTTCCCCTTGTTTTTTTTTTCCCATCTTCAGGGAGCCCACCGTGGAGAGGCTCCACCCTTGCTGTTCCACCTGTTCAGAGCTTTGTGGGCCTGTTACAGGCTTCTCATGTCTCCTTTCATCTCTCTTCACAGAACAGAACAGGTTTTTTTTTCCTTTACAGAACACCGAGGGTTTCACCCTGCTGCCACAAGCCCATGGCTGCGCTTTTCTCTTTGCCCAGGCTCCCCCGTGTCTCGGTGGCTCCAGCCTAGCCTTCAGCTCATTAACACCACTATTAATCCCTTCCAGTTCCCCGCTCCCATCGCAGATTCCATCTCATCGGGGTTTTCTCTTCATCTTCTCCAAGAAGCTCATTACCTAACGCAGCTGTAACCGCTGCTGGGCCTGCCACCGATGCGTATTTTGCACCGGGAGGGGGGGAATTTGCCTAATAAAATAATCCAATTAGACGTTTGTTTTCGCCTCCCTGGGGCATCTTAGATGCCTCGTCTACCCCGGCGTTGCGTGCTGTAATTAGTTACCGTCTGTGCGTTGCTTTGATGGAACAGCCCTGGAATTAGCCTCGGCTCTGGCTCCGGCTCAGGACTTTATGGAAAGAAATCTCTGGGGATTAAAATCAGAGCGGCACCCGCCTGGGGCCGTGTTTTTAGGGTGCTGCGGGTATTTGGGGGATTGCAGAGAGGTTTGGGGGGCTCCCGAGCACCAGGTGCCTCAAAGGAGGAGTTAGCTGAGGGCTCTCAGTGCTGACAGCCACGTTCTGACAAAGAAAGATCACACAATTTGTATTTTCCACTAGTTTGGGTAGCTCCAATGGGGCTGTATTTTGGAGTCCTCAGGGAATTGCAGGGATTGATTCAGTCTGTAAGTAGTTTTGGTGTTCCATATCCCATTTCTTTCTCTTTTTTTTTCTCTCCCCTCTCTAGTCTTCCCTTGGTTTGGCCTGGACATCGGAGGCACCTTGGTCAAGCTGGTGTATTTTGAACCCAAGGACATCACCGCCGAAGAGGAGAAGGAAGAAGTGGAAAACCTCAAAAGCATCCGAAAGTACCTGACCTCCAATGTAGCCTACGGCTCCACAGGCATTCGGGATGTGCACCTAGAGCTAAAGGACCTTACCCTGTGTGGACGTAAAGGCAATCTGCACTTTATACGCTTTCCTACTCATGACATGCCTGCTTTTATTCAAATGGGAAGCGAAAAGCACTTCTCGAGCCTCCATACTACCTTATGTGCCACGGGAGGTGGAGCGTACAAATTTGAGCAGGACTTTCGCACAGTAGGCATTTTTGGCTTCTCTACACACTTAGGATCTGCTAGCGCCACCCTGGTTGAGCTTCGAGCTAGGAATTGCTTCCAGCCTGTCCCTGCAGACTCCAAACTCCTCTAAATCAGCGTCGGAAGAGTGCGCCTAATTCAACCCAAACCTAGCTCAGGGAACGGCGTGCGGAGCCGCGTTCACCTCCCTGAATTCCGACCCCTTCTTTCCTAAAAGTGCATGCAGCCTTCCCACAGCCCTGCAACGACTCGCTGGCTGCCGTGCTGTGTGCCCTTACAAGATTTGCTCTGTTTTTAATCCGTGATTGTGCTGATCTCCTGGTGTTTCCACATCACCGTGTTCACATGCTTAATTTTTTTTTCATATCGTTCCCTAGCTCGTGTGGTTTTGTGTCTAACGCACATAACTCGTCTGGTTGAGGTTCAGTCCAATTAGGTGGGGAATTAATCAAAAGGAGGTCAGGAGGGGGGGGATTTGACATCATCGTGTGGCTTCCTTGTAAGATAAAGCCTTGTTTAGGGCTGCAGTATGTGTGTGCTACATTCTTTGTTTAACCAAGCCTTGAAAAATGTACCAAAGAGGGGTTTTGTGCACTCCAGGCAGTGATATAAGCAGAAAACAATCTCAGAACTCTCTTTTTTAATTTTTTTTTGAGCAGTTAAGCCTCTCTTCATTTTTTTTAGTTCCTTTTCATGCTAGTCCTGAGCCCCTGGGAAGTCAATGGGATTCTCTTGGCTTCCAAATCTGCCTCAAATTGCTTGTTTCCCCCTCCTTCATGCACATGTGCTTCACGCCAGGGTAGTTAGCAGCCTGTGCTGGGGGGCACGCAGCCCTCCTGGCCTCCACACTTCTTTCCCTGCCACCACGAGATGTGAGGATAACTGAAGTGAAGACGTTTTTCTAGCCCTGAGCACAAATCCTTTGTGTCCCTTGCTACTTCTTGAATATCCCATGTCTTTCTTTTCCTTTCCCCTGTGCCAGATGGGTGATCTTCAGCTGCGGAAGCTCGACGAGCTCGATTGCCTTATCAAAGGAGTGCTTTACATCGACTCGGTCGGCTTCAACGGCCACTCGGAGTGCTACTACTTCGAAAACCCGACGGACGCCGAGCGGTGCCAGAAGCTGCCGTTCACCTTGGAGAACCCCTACCCGCTCCTCCTGGTGAACATCGGCTCGGGGGTCAGCATTTTGGCTGTCTACTCAAAGGAGAACTACAAACGGGTAACGGGCACCAGGTGAGCGCTGTGAGAGGGGGGAGGGAGCCTTGTTTTAGGCTCCTAAATGTTTTTTTCTGCATTGTAGATGGTGTTTTCAGGGCTGAGCTGCACTGAAGGTGGTGATTTTGAGTGTCAGCGTCCAGCTTCTCCTGCAGTCCCTTCTCTCTGCCAATAAAGATCCCTCCTGGAAGAGGGAATCTGAATTTCATGTTTTAATTTCCCTGCTGCAACTTGTGTCCTTAGGAGCTGTTTTCTGAGTTGCCCCGCTGCAGGAATTAAACCCTTTTATTCAGCAGAGATCCCACGTTTCGGTACTAACCCCAACCTGCTCATGCCCATGGTTAGCTCCAGTCATAGCAGCACAGATTTGAATCCAAACTCATGCAAGGTACCTTTTTTTTTGGCAAAGGGCTGCTGGAACAACCGTAACTCCCCAGTTTATAATAATAACCCCCCCACAGCACAGACCTGACTCCTCTCAGACGTGTTTAGTGGTGTGTTTGCACAGCAACGTGCACAGGACGTCGTTTTTTCCAGAGTTGTGCATAGCTGTGCCTTAATGCTCCGTGAACCCCTCAGGACCGGTATTTATTTTGGGATCAGCTCCTTGGAGCGCTGGGAAGAAGGTGGATGTTTGTAGAACAGGAAAACTGCCTTCTTATTTAGGAACGTGCCCTCTGCAGAAGGCTGTGAGGGCATGGGATCGCGTACAGGCTGCGGGCCGCTGGAAAGGAGCGGGTTTAAAGAGAAAAGCTCCTCTTTTTGGGATGATTCTCACCAAAAAGAGAAGCAGCGGAAGGGACGGGGCAGATTACACGAGCTCCAGTGCCCCTTCAGAAGCCAGGTGGGTGACTTGGGTTTCCCTTTACACCACAGCCTCGGAGGGGGAACCTTTTTCGGTCTCTGCTGCCTTCTCACCGGTTGCTCCACCTTCGAAGAAGCCCTGGAGATGGCGTCCCACGGGGACAGCACCAAAGTGGACAAATTGGTGCGGGACATCTACGGCGGAGACTACGAGCGCTTTGGACTGCCGGGCTGGGCCGTGGCGTCCAGGTAAGGCTTGGTGGTGGTTTTTTTTTCCCTACAATAACTTCTGCAACGATGAAAAACTGGATTTATATGTTTTAGGAGAGCCGCTACTCCTCCTAGTGTTAAAACAGATCTAAATAAATGACTGTGCTGCTTTTTAAAGCTAGAAATGCTTCCAAATTAATCATTTTAGTCAACTTAGTGATTCCCTTTCTCTTCTGGAGTTCTGATTTAACCAGGCCTTTAACCCCGAGCCTTTCTTTGCAGTTTTGGGAACATGATGAGCAAGGAGAAGCGGGAGTCTGTCAGCAAGGAGGACCTCGCGAAGGCCACCCTGATAACCATCACCAACAACATCGGCTCCATCGCGCGGATGTGCGCCCTCAACGAGGTACTGAGGGAAAACCCAGCTCACTGCTGCCCCTCTGCAGCATCCCTTCCGTGCTGCTGTGCCTCTTTCCCTGCACACACTTCATCCAGGTGCATTCATTCCTATATTTCTGGACATTCAGTAAGATGTAAACTGTTCTTTTTGGATTCTTAAATGAATTTTGTTCTTGCCCGCCTGTGTACTTGGGGTTCCCTGGGTTATTTTTACCCCGTTTTACCTCGTTTCCTCGCTCGAGCGCCACCACTTCCGCAGCCGACACCGTATCTTTGTGCTTTCAGCTTCTTTACAGTGCTGCCTTGTTGCATTCATGTCAAGCAGCATTGTACAGGGCTATGAAAGAGCAGAGGCTCTTCAGCTTGGCTCGGAGCACACTCCTCACTCGTTGGCACACCCGATTTGTCATCGTTATCTGCTAAAAGCGGGCAAGGTATCTCACAAATAGTCGTGCCCACAAAACACCAGCTGGGTCCTTGCCAGTACATGGGGTAATGAAGAGAAGATGCTGACTGCTTAGGTAAAGCAAAGCGTTAATGTGGGGATGGAAGGAAGACCAAAGAAGCAGCATGTGAGCAGTTAGGAGGTGTTCCTGATTCCTCAGTAAGCAGGGAAACTGAAAATGACTTCTCTGCTGGAGAATGAGAATCTTTCCCTTCATCCCTTGGCTCCAGAGAACCATTCTGTGAGGGAAAAGTTTGGCTGAAAATCCGCTTTAAATCTGAACTGGGTCGGTCTCTTCCTCTCATTCAGAATTGTGCTGGTTATGGGGTTTTAGATATTTTTTTTCAGGTTGAAAGCTGTTTGGCTTTCCCTGTGAGGAGTCAAAGGCCAGAGGTGGGGGGAGAGAGAGGAGATGGCACGTGCTGAACAGCTCTTCTAAGCTGTTAAGGGACCTGATAACAAAACCCCAACGATTTGGTGAGATCCCTAAGCTCGAGAAGCTGCAGTTACACCTGTAACTCTGCTATCTGTGGCTCCCATCCCCACCCACCAAGGAGTTTTTGCTCCTTAGCTGCCAGGAGCAGGTTTTTGGGGTGATACAAAGTTTCTCTGGATTTAATGGGGAATTTAATGTGGACCAGTGACTTTTGGTTTGCTTTCAAGTTGGTTTGCATCAAGTCCCACTGGAAAATGGATTTGAAAAGCTCCACGTGGCCTTCTTGAAAAGCACTCTAGTTTTTTTTTCCTTCTAACTCTAAGGTGGGGCTTTTGTTGCAAGCAGAAAATGACAAATTCAGGCTGAACGCTCCGATCTTTTTCCCTCATTCCTGCAGAACATCAACCGAGTGGTTTTTGTCGGCAATTTCCTGCGGATCAATACGATCTCCATGAGGCTGCTGGCGTACGCCTTGGACTACTGGTCGAAGGGACAGCTGAAAGCTCTCTTCTTGGAACACGAGGTGAAACAACGCTCCAGATTTTTATTTTCTCTTACAACGCTCAGGTCTTGGAGCGCTCTGGCAGCAGTCCTGTGGGGTTTGTAGCTGCGGTGCTGAGCGTTGTGCAGCAGGTTCCAGCTGCCTTGTTCCTCTGGGCACCATCGCAGGGTCCCAGCAAGCACACGCGTTGCTCTGGGAACCACAATAAGAATGATTTGCTGCCAGGCTCCTGCTCGCTTGTGAACTTTAGTTTTTCTAGACCATTTCCATGACACCACAGCTGGTTCCCTGCAGCTCTGCTCCCTCGTAGCAAACAGAATCAGAATTTACTTCCTAATGTACCTACATCTGGTTATTTCTTCCACCATGCTTTATAAGTTTTTAAAACTGCACTGTTCAATATTTATTCCTGTTATTCTTCCTCTCATATCGGGTGCACGCCCAGGTTTGAGTTATTGATGGCTGCTGTCTGTTTGCTTGCAGGGTTATTTTGGTGCCGTCGGTGCTCTTCTGGAACTCCTGGATTCAGCCTGACTCCCTGCAGCCTCCGGACGTCGGCCCTACAAAATCAGGGCGCTCCCTGGGCCTCGATGCCCATGTTGGGCTTCAGTGACTTGCTACAACTGGCTGCGTGATCCTGTCAGAGGGCAGGATTGAGGTTGTTGACCGTCAGTTGAAGGCAGGCTGTAATTCAGAGCAGGTTTGCTCGCGGGGATGCAGTTGGGTTGAGCATCTGCAGGGCACGAAGCCACCACCATCGAGCGTCCCTCTCCGTGCAGCCTTCCACACACATTTCATGGTGGTCACGTCGCGCAAAGCTCGCTCTTTTCCTTTCCTCAAGACCCCTGTGAATGCTGGATGTCCCCCTAGTTCCTATTTTATAGAATCCAGCTCAACGTTTCCTGTGCTGCAAATGAAACGTCAGGTCCTCGTTCCGCTGTAAATCCTGGGGTCGGGGCAGGGCCGGCAGCGCAACCCTGGCACCTAAAACCCCTGAGAACCACTTCTCTCCCCTCCGCACCACGCAGCAGCCTGCCAGCAGGGTTCATTTCTGTTAGAGCAGCTTCTTACCCTTGTGTAGGGGTTCTCAGAGCTGGAAGGGAAGGTGTAAATCTTGTCCTGGCTTCCCAAATCTGCTCAGCTCGGTTCCGCTCGCAGCCTGTGGCGCTCTGCAGCCTGGCGCGGTGTTGGCATCGCGTTAGGAGCCCGTGACCTTGAGGCGTGCTGAAAGCAAACGTGAGGGTGAACCAGGTTTCTTCTTTCCCTCCTCTGCTGTCAGACCAGGCTGCACAGAACGATACCAAAGATTTCTTTTCCTTCAGCCACGCTTGGGGTCTCTGTAACGCTCCGTTTTATGCTCGTTAATGGCTCAAGTGCTGTGGTTCGGGGGGAAGCTGTTTTTCCCTTCCACGAGTTGTTCTCTCCTCTCTTTTCTCCGTGCACGCAGCCCTGTGAGCAGCCTGGGAAGCCGCTCGCTGCAGCTTGGAGCCTCTGAAGGTAACAACTCCCAGGCTGGGATTTTGCAGGTCACTTGCTGCGTGCCGAGCAAACGAGCTCTCCAAAGAGCAGAGCTGCTGCTAGCGGCCAACAATTTAAAATGGGCCGACTGCATGCACGCAGCTTGTGCGTTGATCCTCCTTGTTCCTCTGCTTTGCCTTGCCTTGTTTTTTTTAGAAATTCTTCCCACTTCTAGAGTTCAGCTCTAAAAGGCGCAGCGGCTGTAGTGAGAAGGGCGCCGTTGGTGTTCTCCTTTCCGCGTTGCTCGCTTCAGTTGTCCCCGTGGCACCTGCCTCTTGTTCGGGGCTGAAAAGGGAAGAAACGGTCCATTCAGATGTTTTTTTTCTAGCGTAGATCCTGTGTGAGGCTTCTCTGAAGGCTGTCACATCAGTTCTGCCGGCAGCAGCGTGCCAGAGAGCAGGCAGCACGAAGCGAGGTATCTCCAAAGCTTGAAGGGCCTGGAACTTCCTGAGCGCATCCCATAATTAAAGAAAAAAAAAGGGATGGAGAGGAAAAGAGAGAAAAACGGGCTTCAGGAAGCTTCTGTGCCCCTGCAAGTAAGGCCAGGGGGGGCTTAGCAGCCAGAATTTGCCCCAGGGCTTTTCTAGAGCCCCCTTGGGCGCAGGCAGGGCACCTCCGGGTGCAGAAGGGAATCCTTGCAGGGCGTGGGAAGGGGCTGATGTCTCCAGGAGCAGCCCTGGGGAGCTGAGGGGAGGCAGAAGCCGCCTGGAAAAGATTTGGGGACGTGAGGGGAAGCTGCCCAGAGAAGGAGGAAGCTCTGCTGCGAAACAAGATCCTGCCCTGGCACGCGTGGAGGTGCCGAGCTCGCGTCCCTCGTGCCGCCTGTGGGTTTGTGTGGGTCCTGCAGCTGCCGTGCTGTGTGCGTTCTTTTGTAAAACTTATTTTTTCGTTTTTTTTTTTTTCCTTTTTTTTTTTCTTGGAATAAAACATTTCAGTTATTTTTGTATACACCAAACTCCCCTTGTTGGCTTCTCCTGCTCTTCTGCCCCGCTGCGGAGGGAACGCGCCAACAGGTCCCCAGCGCCCCCACACCGTCTCCTGTGGGGTCGGGGACCCCTGGCTGCCCCCGGGGGGGCTGCAAAAACCAAGTGGGGGGCTCCCCTGGGGCTGGGGGCGCAGGGACCCTGGCCCTTTGCTGGGACCGATGGCCCCAAAATAAACCAAATCCCACCAAACCCACCAGAAATCCCTCTGGAAGAGGCTGGGGCCGTTTCCCACCCCCCTACAAACACAGCTTCCAAAACCTGCTTTTATTTACATTTCAAGTCAAATCACATGCAAAAAAAAAAAACGTTTTTTTTTTTTTTTTTTTTTCTCTCCTCGTTTTCCTTACGAATAGTGTGATTAGCAAAAAAGACGCATTAGAATTTTTAAAATAGCAATTAAATATACAAAAATAGAGCTTACAAAAAAAAAAAAGACCAAAAAAAAAACGAAAAAAAAGAAAAAACAGCGACCGTTTTAAAAAATATTCTGCTGCAGAATTCGTAGTGTACAAACACGTCTATGAGGCTCCACGCTCCATAAACAGTCGGGGGGGGCACACGGTTTTTATAGGGGAGGACGCCCCACGCTGCTGTGCCCCTGGTAATACTGAGCCCCCCCCTCTGCCCCCCTAAAAGGGACCGAGAGCTGCAAGGAGAAGGGGGCCGGGTGCCTGTGGGGTGCTCGGGTTTGCTCCAAAAGGCAAAGTGGGGGCGTTTTGCCCCCCCCCAGCAGCTTGCGCCCCGCGGGCTGCTTGGTTTGGGGGATTTTGGCACTGCCTGGAGCCCCCTGGGGCTGAGAGCGGGTGCACAGGGCAGGATTTTTGTCCCCCCCTGGGGGCTCACCCGTGGCAGGGGGTTGAGGAAGCCCTGAGGTAGCCCAACGCGCGCTGTGGGGGGGGGGACACGGCCCCCCTGCCCCGCTCAGCCCTTTTGGGATCCCGGCACGAAGCCCTCGGGGGCAGAGAGAGCACGAAAGGCAGCACCGAGGCGGGGCTGCACCCACGTCACCCCCCCAGGAGGGGAAATAAAACCCCAAATCCCCCCTCGGGTGCCACCGAACCCGCGGTGGATGTGGGCGGCGCCGCTCTGGGGGGGGGCACCGGCTGCGGGCTGGGTGTCGAGGTGAGGCTCTCCCCCTCTCCCTCAGCTCCAGGATCCTGGGGAGGAAACAAAAAACCCAAAAACCTCATTTTGAGGACGAGGGAGGTGTGGGGGGGGGACGTGCTCCCTCCTAAAGTGCTCTCAGCTCTCTGTCTGTCCGTCCGTCCATCCCCAGCTCCGTGCTGGTGCCGTAGTGCTTTGGTTGGCGGCTCCGGGTGCCCGGGGGGGGCTCCCCCTGAGCGCCGGGGCGAGTCCGGGGGGGCTCGGAGCTATACCAGGTTCTCTGCGCCCGGGAGGGGGCTTTGGGGGGGCCAGGGTCCTGCTTGCTGTGCAGCTGGGCCAGCTGCAGCACCGGCATGTTGCAGAGCGGGCACACCTTGCGCACCTCCAGCCATTTGATGAGGCACCTGGGGGGAAAAAAAAAGGGTAAAGCACCCCAAATCACCCCAAATCACCCCAAATCAGGGCTGAGCCGTTTCCACCCCCCCGCAGCATCACCAGCGCAATGAATTCACCGCCTAGGTGCCTTTGTTGCACATAAAAATGTCCTTGTAAAATACAACCAAACGTAACCGAAATGTTACGCTGGAGTTTTGCTGCTCCGAACGCTCAGAGCCATCTGCAAAAGGGCTTTTCCTTTCCTTTCTTTTTTTTTTTTTTTTTTTCCTTTCCCCTTGCTGGAGGGGGAAGAAAACCCCAGAGCAGATTGCTGAAGACGCAACGCCACAAAACCAGGCAAAAAGGGAGGCTTTTTGGTTCTCCTCTGTCCTCTCCCACCGCAGCAAGGCAGAAAGGTGCACCACAGCGAGCTCAGCTCACCCGCAGCCATCCCCTAGCCCTGGTGGAGGAATTTAAGAGACGCTCTCCACCTGAACGAGCATTTTTTGGGCTTTGGCACCTCCCTGTGCCGGCGCCTCCGCCTCGCTGCCTCTTGCAACGCCTTCGAAAATCGCAGCGCCCCGGGCCGGGGCTTTTCCAGCGCAGGGGGAGCCCGGCAGCCACCCAGGAGCTGCAGGCGCAGGTGGATTTGGGGCCGCGCTCGGCTTTCCAGGCTCTCAGAGAGCCTGGGAGAGCAGCCTGGTGCTGATCCTGGAACCAAGGGGTGAGCAGCATCGCTCCACGCCGTAAATAAAAGCTGATTAAAGGGGAGGTGGCAGTTGTTTATTCTCTAAAGCCTGGGACAGGCTAAGCAGCGCCGGCTGCGTAATTCAGGCGCCGTCCCTCGCGTCGTGCCTCGGACCAGAGGTGTGCAAAGGACCCAGCCCCAGCCCCTGGCTCCTGCTTTGTTTGAAATCGTCCCGCACTTACTTTCTGTGGAAGGCATGTTTGCACGGACAGATCCCCAGCTCGTCCTTGGGCTTGAACTCCTCCAAGCAGACGGCGCAGATCTGAAAGACGAGCGGGTCACCGGCACGGTCAGCAATTTCCAACACAAAAAATCCACACATATCTTTAAACTGGGGGAAATTCTCCCCCAAAAACCTCCCTGAGTGTTTCCTGGCTCCTGGTGCAGGTTTCTGTCGTCTCCCCGGTGCTCACCTCACCACTGCCTTTAATTGGGGAAAAAAAAGGGGAATTTGGCTCCTGTCTGAGCTCCGCAGCTGGGCAGGGCTTGGCTTGGCTGCGGGACAGAGCCCGGCTTAGCGCAGCTTTGCACAGCCCCGGGGCTGCGGCCCTCCCGGAGGTAAATCCTCCGGCTCCTGCGGTCATTAAGCTGCTCCGTTCATTTAAACAGCAATCAAAATAAGTTTAAAGCCCAATCTGCCTTTAATCCGGGCTCTAATTGCCGGGGTTGGCAGCCTCTGGGCCGGGCAGCGCCTCCCTTTCTGCTTTACCCACAAACATCGCAGGAGGCAGCAGGGAACCACTGCCCCCCAGCTTTATTTGCACAGCCTGGTGGGTTTGCACCGAGGACCGAGCACTTTTTGGAGCCTGTGAAGCCCTCAGAGAGGCGGCGTCATGGGAAAAAGGGGAAAAAAAACAGAGCTGGGCAAGCGCTGAGGAGCCCAGCGGGGATTTTACCTCCTGGTGAGCCCTGGCAGCTGCTGCTGCAAACCCCCAATACCCCATTTTTTGCCCAAAATGGGATATTTCGGAAGGAGCCTGAGCAAAACCCTCCCAGCCTTCCCCAAACCCCCTTTGGGGATGCAAACAGGGCTTTTAATTCCTAACACACCCAAGCAGCCCGCAGCCGGCCTCCTCCAGCCACAGCTCCTTGCTGCGGGGACGACGGCGCAGAAAACCCACAGCAACGCATGGAAAAAATGCACCGAAGGGACGAAGCGTGGAAAGAAATTGCAGGAGAAACAACCACATGTGGAAAATTGCGTGAAGACGACAATGCATACAGACAAAAATGCGTGAAAATGCATAAAAATGCATGAAAATGAATCAAAATCCATGAAAATGAATAAAAATCCACGAAAATGCATAAAAGCAATCCGTGAAAATGCATGAAAATGCATAAAATAGCAATGAATGAAAATGCATGAAGACAGCAATGCATGAAAATGCACAAAAATACATGAAAACGTGTTAAAAAAAATGCATGAAAACGCATAAAGACCGCTGCAGGAAAACAATGCTGCTTGAAAATGATGACGACGAAAATTAATAACGCATGAAAATAATGGTGCATAAAAAGGAAAAGGCCCCTGGGAGGGGGCTGGGGCTGGCTCGATCCGGCCCCTCTGCAGCTGTGCCCGCGGCAGCTGCGTTAGCGAGCGGTGGGACGCGCAGAGGATGAGGAGCAGCATCAGGGAACGAGCACAAGGAGGTGCAAGGAGGCTGCAGGGCCAGGCACACGTCAGCTTTTGGCACTGTGTCCCTGCAGCCAGGAGGTGGCAAGGGACGGAGGGGAGCTGCAGGAGCTGCCGGGGATGGAAACTCATCGCGTTCCCCCGCTGCTGGCGGCGCCCCAGGAAGCAGAGCCCCGCACGCACTCACCTCGTGGAGGTTCAGCTCCTTCACCTTCTCCTTGAGAATGACCTGCAACACAGAGACGGGGTCAGGACATGGCTCCTGCTGCGTTTACAGCCACTCAGATCCCCATAAATCCGAATTTCCATGCGCAAACCCTTTCTGTTACACTGAAAATCCCCCCTTTTGGCCACCAGCTGGGGCTGGGTGCTGCACCAAGGCAGCAATGGGCTCAGGTTTTGCAGGGCACAGCGTGAGCAGAAAGAGCCTGCTGTAAATTAAACCTGAATTCTAAAAATATGCTAAAAACTGGGCCAGTTCTGCACACTCCTAGCAATAATAATAAAAAATACACACAGACGTGCCCGTGCTGTGACAGCTCTCCGTACGTGTGGAGCCAGAAATCTCCAGTACCCCACCTCCAGCCTGCATGCATCCCTGTGGGAAGACAGGGTGAAAAGTGGTGTTTGCACAAAAAAAAGATCCGAGGACAAACCTCAGGAGGTCCCCAAACCGAGCGCCTGGAGGGGGCTGCGCTCCAGGAACAGCCACGTGCTGCAACATCCATCCAGCCCGGCCCCACCTCCTTCGGTTTCCTGCCTGAACGCTAGGTCAGAGGTGGAAAAAGCTACAAAACCCCAGGGGAAAAGGGGATGTTTCAGCAGAAAATGGAGTTTATTTTAACCCCTGCGTGTGGGTGGCTGCAGAAAGCAGCTGGGTTGGCCGCGGCGATGCCTTCCCCAGGATGGATGGGGCTGTGCTGACCCCGCAGCCAGCTCCAGCCCACGCTGCAGCTGCTGGAGGAGCGCTGGATGCTGCCACCACGACACCCCCGAGGGTTTGGGAAGTGCCAGTGGAGGTGCTCCGAGGGTGGAGACGTCCCCAGCGCCCGGGAAAACGCTCCAAGACTTGGCACCCGTGTTTGGTTTCAGCTGGGGGAAGCCTCTCCCAGCTTAAACTCTTGCTTTCTGGGTGTTTTATCTTTAAATAAATGATATTTCTGCTCTTTTAGTCCTGCTGATTGCTCTTGCTGCCTCTGGGCTCACCTAGAGGGAAGCACGCGACCACCTGCAGGGCAGCATCCAGGTCGGACAGCAGCTGACCCCGAAATGCTGAGACCTGCAGAGCACTGCATGCAGGCAAGAGATGCTCTCAGGGGGCCCAGCTGGCAAAAAAAAAACCCTAAATCAGCAGGAAAAGAGGTTTGGCAGAACGTTAGCAACCTCTTTTCAAAGACCTAGAGCCTCCCGGTGAAAAGAAAAGCTCAATGGCAACCTGAAGGAGCGATTATTGGCTCTCGGAGCCCGTTCATCACCTCACCTGCTTGTAGGCGTAAAGCTCTTTGTGTGCTTGGTGTCTGAGCCTGGAACGAAGAGAGGGAGAGAAGTGAGGGCAGGCCAAGACAGCAGGATTACCCCAAACCAGCAGGAACACCCCAAAGACACCTCGCTTCCCTCCCCTCCCGATCTAATCGCTTCGGTTTTCCTTTGTGATTTTCGGCTTTTTGTGGAGCGGGGATGGAGCAAGAGGGGTGAAACCGGCCCAGCCCCGAGGCTGGGAAAGTGCTTATGAAACCCAGATGGGGAAAAGCAGAGCTTGGCTGCCGGGGACCACCTACGAGGGGGAAAAATGCTCTCCCAGGAGAGCCAGCTCCAGAGCTGATCGCTGTGCCTCGCGGAGGTGGTGGGCAATCAGAGACTCGCCAAACGAGAGGCTACGGGGGGGCGGCGGTGGCAGATCCCACAAGCAATCCTTGATCCCATGCTGTCAGCTCGGAGATTGGGGTAAAAACACCAGATATTGGCTCTCCCACGCTCGGGGTGCCTCCTGGCTGGGTTTGCTGCACCAAGAGGGCTGCAGAGGATGCTCCCGTGCCGCATCTCCCCAAATGTTAAAGGAATTCCTCGCTGCTCCACAGCCTCCAGATGTGATCCTTGGTTAAAAGCCCCAAATCTCAGCGCAGGAGGGGTCAGGGATGTGTGGGGTAACCCAGGAGGGCTTCAGCAGCTGGCCGAGGAGGGGGAGAAACTCAGCATGAACTCAAGGTGTTGCTTTGTATATCGGATCCTCCTGCCGCAGGTTTTTGGGGGGCTTTGGGTTTCTGGGGCTGCTCCGGGTGCGGGGGATCCTCCTTTGCAGATCCTGGTGCTGCTGCTTGGATTCCTCAGGGTCTCGGTCGAGGCTGGGGCTGTGCAGGGATCGTTAGATGATCTAGTCCAAGCTCCCATCTCTCAGAGGTCGGCGTTATTCCTGAGGGTGGCAGCCAAACATCCCTCCCCGACAGGCACTCTGTCTTCATTTAAAGACAGCAAGAGACAGCAGGAGCTTGCCACTTCCCTCGCTGGCTTCTCTCAGCAGTTACTCACCCTCTCTCTTCCCACACGCCTCCAACTTCTAAATTTAAAGGTTTTCTGGCTCCATCCTCCAGACATTACTCCTGGTTATTTCTTCTCTGGGGCAGAACACACCCAGCGAGACCCAGTGCCCAGGAAAACACTCGCAAAGCCCAAACACCTCTTCGTTTTGCAGGCAAGCCGCGTAGGTTCAGCTCAACCCAGGGAAAACACATCCCTCACGAGGAGGGATTTGGGTAGGGTAACGAGGGGGCAGGCATTAAACATTCCCTAAGCAGCCGGCACCCGAGTTAGCCATTAAAGAGCTGGGCAGGAACCATAAAACCCCGCTTCCAAGTCCTGGTTGAGACGCCTGCCTGAGCAACCGTGCTCCGTGCCCGTGTTAAGTGGCCCCAGAAATAAATTTCTGCTGGGTTTGGAGCCGATAACGCGGTTCCTTTCAGAGCTGCTCGCTCCCAGACGTGTTGGGTCCACGCTGCGTGAGCTCCGCGTCCGTTTCCTCTGCGAGGGATGAATGGTGAGGCCGATGCTAAGGGCTGAGCAAATCCTTTTTTTCTGATTTTAATCCTTTTTTTTTAAAATATTCTTTCTCTAATCAATTATTCTTACCTGATCAGGTAGCAGCAGAAGAGTAAACTGAGGATGAAGACAAAGATGGCCGTGCCGAAAACCACAATGTATATGTTGAGAGGCAGGTTCTGGAACCCGATGTTCGGCATCCTGAAACTGTAGTGCTGGAAATCCGAGCTCATGGGTGGGCTGCGAGGAAAGGGAGAGAAAAGGAGGACGTCAGGCTCCATCCGCACACGGGATGCCCCACAGAGGAGAGGAGGGACGCCCCGAAAACAAAGCAGGGCAGGCTAAACCGTGCCTGGGATTCCCCTTCTCCCTCCACGTGCTCCTCGCCCAGCGCTTTCCCCTCCTGCTGACGCAGGCAGTCCTTTAAATTCAACTCCAGGTGGGGATTTGCATCCAAGCCACCCCAATCCCAACGTCCCCCTGTGCCTGAAACCCCGATTAATTAGACTGAAATGCCCCAAAGCAGCCAGAAGGCAGGCTGGAGAGTTTTTCCTCCCCTCCCCTCCTGCGGTTTCCTCCCTGAGCAGAAATTCTGCCCTCCGGCACTCCTTTAGGGTGATTTCCACGCTGCCATCGGGGCCGAGGGGAGGGCAAGGACATCGCCGTGGCAGATGGCAGAGCTGCCGGGATTTACAGGTGCCATAAATACAGGTGCCAGCACAAACCCCACAGACAGAGCCCGATGAAACCTCCCCGTGCACATCCCCGGGGTGATGATTTCAGCCTGCGAGCTCTCCCACGCCGTATCAACCTCCCCGAGCCCCAAATATCCGAAAAATCACCGAAAAGCAGGGATTTGCTGGGGCTCCTCATCGTTCCTTTCCGCCCCGCGGCTCCCGAGCCGCTCACCCTTGAATGAGCAGGCACAAAGTTCCCCCGCCCCCAGCTCGGAGAAGGAAGTTAAAAAAAAAAAAAACAATAATAAATGATCTCTCTTGTTTTCCTTTCATCGGTTACTGCCCACGGGAGGCGGCGTGCAAGCCAGTTTCACAACAAACAGGGAAACTACCTGCAGTCTGCCCCCAGCTTTTGGGGAATTAAATTACGGAGGGATGACAAAATCCCCCCGGAGCAGGGTTTTTTTATTTTTCGGCGCAGGAGCAGCGCGGCTCCAGGTTTTGTGCAGAACAGGGTGAAAGTGTGGGAGGTGGCCGGGGATAACCGGGGAAAACGGCGATGAAAAGCCCCAAATCTGAGCTGCGGAGCTGCAGGGAGGCATTTGGGCTCCCAGCAAGGCTGGATTCAGGTTCTGAAAGAAAATAATCCCTGAAATTATCCGTGCTCTTTGCTGCTGCTGCGGCCCCAACGGCGCAGGGACTTCGTGGCACCTAAAGAAACCGGGTTTAAGCCCAGGAAGCTTCAGCAAAGAAACCCGACCCAACAGCAGATGCTCCTGGGCAGCCTTTCCTCCTTTGTCCCCTTTTTTTCTAAGCCTCACCGGGTGTTTTCTTGGCGCAGGAGCAGCTCTCCCATCCCACGCTTTGCCTCCTCGCAGGATCAGGCCCTGCTGTTTTGGGCAGGCAGCGAGACGACGCGACAGCAGCAAGGTCAGCAGCCTCAGCAAAATTAAAACACGGCCCCAAAATGCAGCCCCAGCCCCTCTCCTGCAGCTTCCAGCACCCACCTGGCATCCTCACGCGTCCCTGGCACCGATTTCTTCCCCTCTGGGGCGCTCGAGGTTGGCCCCCCAGCCCGGCGTCACCTCCTGCCCCTCGCCGAGGGCAGCATCCCCGCCGCCCCAAGCTCCCCTCTCCGCTGCTGCTTTTGGCTCCCTTGGTTTTTGAGGCGTAAAAACGATTTTTGGTAAAGCCTGGACTTGATTAAAACCCCCCGAGAGCCAAGCACGTGTTCAGCGAGGCGCGCAGCCCGAGCGGGAAGGCTGCAAGAGCCGTGAGCCCGCACGCACAGAGGCTTGCACAACGCCACCGAGGTGGTTGTTGTTTTTTTTTTTTGTTTTGCTTTGCGAATAAATAATTAAAAAAAAAAAAGCGACACCACCCCCAAACCTTTGTTCCCGACTCGGGTACAGTTAATGCGCAGCTTTGCGTGGCTGCGCGGGGTTGGGTTCGGGTTTTAATCCCCGTGCTCTTTGCTGGGTCAAAGGGATTTCAGGCGGTGCAGGGCCTCTCCCGTCAGTCGGGAGCCTCCTGCTGCTTCCTTTTTGATCCAGGGGCTCCTCGTGCTGGCCGCTGGCTTGGATTTCCAGAAATATTCCAGGTTTGTTAGCTGCTCCACGCGGGGAAGGAAAGGTTCTGCGAGCCGGGAGCAGAGCTTGTGGCCTCCCACCAGGAACGTCAGCGGCTGAGGTTCCCATGTGGGGGACCACTGTGGTCGGCAGTGTGTTTTTGGGGTCCTGAGGATCATAAATCCTCTGTGGGAACGCAGGTTTCAGGAGCAAGCCTCACCAAGGCTTGAAAAAACCAGCAGATGAAGACCCCAACGTGCTGGATCTCACTACCGGGGCATGGAGAGGAGCCGAACGCCCCCACAGAGCATCCCTCCGGCCAGCCGAGCAACCCAAATAATCCGGGACCGATCTTGGAGGCAAAACAACCAAACCAAGCAGCACGGCACCAACCCTCTTCCTTCGTAGCTCCTTCAAGCTGTGACACTCTCCGAACTGAGCCAGCTCTGGGGCCTTCGGCGCACTGAGAATGTCAGTGGAGATGTGCTGGTCCTTTTTAGGACCTCGGATTTAGGGCCTGGGATTTAGGGCCTCGGATCTCCTCCAGCCACGAATTCCTGACGGCCACATCCAGCTGCTCCACCAGACCGCAGCTACAAACCACCACAGCTGCCCGAGGGAAATGAGGGATCCCAAGCTCCCTGCAGCCCGCTGCATTCTCCCAGCCAGGATTTTGCCCCAAAACGCTGTGCCCGAGGTGGCCGTGACCCTACAGCAGGGGCTCATTCTCCTAGGGACGATCCCAGAGGTGCAGAAACGTTACGGTGAAAAATCCAGCAGATAGAGGCAAAAAAAGAGCCTGCCCAGGATCCAGGAAACTGTTAACTTGAAAAAAAAAGCCTGAAATGGGATGATTTTAAGGAGCCAAGCTTTTGGTTTGTTTGATTTTCTCTTTTTTTTTGGGGGGTGGGGAGCGTGGTAGGGGAGGAGCTGTGCTTTAATTCGCTTCAGATTTACCAGAACGCAGCCAAAAGAAATAAAAAGGAGCCGTGAGGGAGGCCGGGAGCTTTCCGAGGCAGGACAAAAAGCTTCAGGCTGTGCCCGTGGGACCCCAGACCCCGCGTGGGGCTGGCTGCGGGTCTGAAATCCCGACCTGCACCCAGCAGGACCTGGAGGCAGGGTTATAAAAAGGTGCCAGGCTTCCTCTCAGTGCAAACCCGGCTGCCTAGATGAAAGGGAAGGAGGGAAAGCCGGATTTTCCCAGGCTGAGGCACGGGGGATACGTCCCGAAAGCCCTGAAATTAAAAGGCACCGAGGTGTCCTTATGACAGGGCTGGACGCAGGGATGTGGCTTCTCTGCGGGGAGGGATCCCGTAGGAAACCCCAAAACTCCCTGCAGGAGATGCCGGTCCGCACGCAGCTGCTGGGACGGGGAGGACGCAGCCTCCGCGTCCCTGTGGGATTTAATTAATGGCTTTAATTAAGGCCCAGTTCTGGTTAACGTGAGGTTAAAGAGCAGGGGAGGCAGGGAAGGGAGAGCTGCAGGTCCCACCGCCCTCCCCCTGCTCGCCGCGCCCTCTGATTACAAGCCGGGCACTTCAAGGCAAACCCCAAGAAGCCACGCAGCCCAAATCCATCCTTCTCATTAACAGCAGCAAGCAATTAACGAGCTCAACCAGCTCGGCCGAGCTCTTCCACGCAGCTTTCAGCGGGGAAACCTCCAAGGGAGGAACCCAAGAGGCGATTACCCTGCTGCACGGCACTGGGAGCGCTGTGGGGACCTCACCCTCGCTGCTTCCCGATGGTCCTTGGGGTTTTTTCTCTCCTTCCGAGGGTGTTTTTGTTGCTGTTATTTCTTTCCGGAGCGCCGAGCACCCCAGCCACGTTTAGCCCAGGCCAAGGGCTCGGTTTTGGGGCTGGTGGCTGGCTGCGGGCAGCAGGCACAAGGAAAAGTTTCCCCAAATCCCTTCGTTTGAAGGGGGAATTGAGGAACATGCCCCATCTCCTTCCCCCTGGGAATTTCCACAAGCCATAAATATGACATTTATATGTCCAGGCTGAGATTTCCAAATAATTTTTCCAAAAAAAAAAAAAAGGGGTTTTGGGGCACTTGGGAAGCAGCAGTGAGATGCTACTCAGATAAGCAGCCTGGCAGGAGATGTCGTGACACGTGGGTGAATTCTGGTGAATCCCAACACGGAGCTGTCACCACCGGGGCACCCAAGGGGTCACCGCACGTCACCAAGGGGGTGACAAAAGCCAGTGCCACCCCCCCAGAGCCAGCAGAGCCCATGGAAAGCAGAACGGGGAACAGCGGGAGGTTGGAGAGCAAAAGGACCCGGCTTTTCCCCCAGAAATCGGGCAGCAGAAATTAAAAATTCCTCCCCGTGGAAGCAGGATGCTCCACGCAGGGCCAGGGGCAGCTAGGTGCACGGGATGGGGTTTGCAAACCCCCATGCAGAGGCCCTAAAACCTCTCCTGGTGTAATTTATCTCTCTCCAAACGTCCCTGCACCAGCAGGGGTGCGCCCAGCACCTTCTGGGCTATCGCGCCGCGGTTCTCCAGCAAAGCCTGCCCAGGAGGTGCTGCCTGGTTCAGACCTTTGAGCCCTTTCCCCTCCCTCCAAGAGGGAATCGGATGCTTTTGGAACAGGAACCAAAATTCCCTGGCTTCGTTCCCTGGCTGGACGACACCAAACACAAATTTAACTCCCTCAGCCGCTGGTGGGGAAAGAGCGAGCTGGAAGAGGCTCCCGGCGAAGCGATCAGCAGCCAAAAAGGCCAAAAAGTCTTAAAATGAGAATAAACAGAACCTCCTGGCAGTGCCACCAGCACCGCTGCAGTTTTCTGGATCCTGGAGGGTCGGTTTAGCGGAGAAGCAGCCCTGTCACCGCCGTCCCGAGGCACATCTTGAGGAGGAAAAACCTTTTTGCTTCTGCCGGAGAGGCGCAGGAATTAGGTCAGCTGCAGTTCCCAGCGCCAGGTTAAAGCCCGGGGCCGTCAGCAAAGCAAACAAGAGGCTCGCTCAGGGCTGATTTTGCAAGATCCAGACAGAAAAAAAAAGATGTAAAATAAATAAAAAGAAAAAAAAATCTCTGGTGCTTTTTTAAATTCAGCCTAAGCCAGCAGGGGAGCGGAGCTCGGGCTCCCCGTGTCTGGCAGCAGCGGGAACGAGGAATCGAAAGCAGCCCCGGGGTCATCCCACCCGGCACAGCTTTTCTGGGAACTGCAGGCGAGGCAGCAAGTTTCGGGAAAGCCGCAGGAAGTCGGAGGAGCAGCCGCAGGATCCGTGGCTGCCAGAGCATCTTCGGGAGGCTGAGGGGGAGCCGCAGGCTGCCCACGTGAGCTGAGCCGGGCTTCTCCTTGGCCATGAGATAATGCTGGAGGAATTTTTTTTCCCCTTTGGCTCCGTGTTTTGTTTTTTTTTTTGCCCCTCCACCCCCTTTTCCTGGCACGTGGCTCCGTCCCAGCTGCGATGTCACGACCTGCTGAGCTCATTTTTCCTCCCGACAGCGTGGTGGGAAGGGAAAGGATGCCCTGAGCCCCCCTCCATCCTCCTGGCTGTGAAATGCAGCGGCCCTGTAGGACCCGACCCTGCTGCCCCCACAGCACCAGCCCCTACCGCATCCCATCAGGTGCCAAAGCCTCGATTTATGGAGTTTTCCCCCCGATTCATGGGCTCCTTGCAAGCACTGCCCGGCCGAACCCGGTGCTCAACACCCGGATAACCCAGGGAATCGCAATCTGGACAGGGAGAGCTGAGGGATGCTAAAGGGGCTCCCAAAATATCACATTTGGG